TTTTTAAAAAGAAGATTTTTGTTCTGAGATGTATCAGAAATATGTGTAAAATTTCTAACTGAAAATGTTTCACATTACATGTCAACACACTACGGTGTTTTATTTAGTAAGTCTCGGGCGAAGCCGAGACGGGGGGCTGCTAGTAGTAAATACGTCAGAATTCGTGACGCTTTGGTCGTTTGCACTAGCATTAATAGTTAGTGTACATGATATTCGTCTCAGCCCAGCGAGTTGCACTTGTTTTTGCCAGAACCTACGAGCTGTACTTCTTTTCGATAAACATTTTAGACTGTACTTTTTTTCGTCAAAGTGTGTGAGGGGTCTCTTTATTCGCCTTGGGCATCGATATGTTTTCATGCAAAGACACCGAAATTCCAAACTTTTCCTGTAATACTAATCTTATATTTTACCTCACAACATTGCAAATTTAGCGATTTCTCACCCGGCAGATCCTTTCTAAATGCAGTAATCTGAAGCAGTGGCATGTACATGAGAAAATACGATGGGACTGAATTACAGTAATTTCCATCGTCTTGTACGAGTTGTAAATATCCAATTTTTTTTTTAACATTGTAAAGTACTTGCAATAACCAAGCTCAGTTTTTTCGGTATCAAGAGCCGATAGATCGCACAATAATATCGATCATTTATACTTTTTAAAGTAAATAAAGTTTCTTAATGTAAATTATTTAAATTTTGCATTGTTGCCGCTGTTGCTGCACGATTAATAGTCTTTTACGAATCTAGATTCTGGTATAAACTGGCACGTAATTTTTGTTTGCATCACATGGTAGAGTATACTTATGCGAACCTGAAAGCTGTTTGAAAGTATTCGCAATAGCTTTAAATAATACCAAGTCTTAATAAATGTTCCTATAAGGTTTGCTATTTTTTTGGCGACTATCTAAAACTTGCAGTGAGATAATGCGTATCAAGTTCATGAACAATTCAAAGTTTATTTTCGTTCTTGATTTTATTGATTTGCGGTAAAAAGCATAGTCTCCTTAAAAACGAGATGTTTGGTTTAGAGATGAAATGGTTTTCTGTTAACATACACGTACTTTTTAAAAGTTTTAACAATAATATTCGAAAATTTCAGTCTCATGATCTGAGTGTTGTTCCAAAAGCAGATGGTCGCTACATCTAATTTGACGCACAAAAAAATGTTCATCCGCATGCTCAAATTTATCTATTTTACAAATACTTATGTCGCCTCTTCAATTGACAGATTGAAACTCCTTAATCATGAAATATGTCCATTAAACTTTACTATATAGCTTTTTATTTGTACGAATCTTCATTAGCCTTTAAACCTTGAGCAAACGAAAAACAAAAACGTTAACGTCAACTCTACGAGGTGAGCCATTACAAATTTGATAGTCATCCGTGCACATCATACGCTTGTCGCTTCTTTTATATGGTCGAGAAAACAAAAAGTTAGAAGGATTCCCAATGGGTCCTCAGGGCATCGTGGCGTAATAGCCACTGGCGGCATCTGCAATCATTATACTAATATGCAAATGCAGAGAGTAAATAAGTTAAGGACGAGGAACAATGTATACGTTATTTCGAGTACATCATTTCCTCAAGAGGGTTCCAAGAACGTGACGATGACTTCCAACAAAAGACAAGGAACAACCTTGTCCTCCGGCAATACCAACGATTCCAAACCTCGGTGACATCATGTAGAGTCGTACTTACCATTTGGTAACGAGAAAAAGCTATGGGCCATTGAATAAAAAAAATTGTGCATACCATTGGTGTAGGCAGGTGGTAGGACGCGGAGGTAGGGCGAGCCCCTGGCGCCCCAGGCTGGATGCCTGACGTTGTTGCAGGCCCCGGAAGGGGTCCTGTATTTGCTTGGCGGACAAGGCCGCTCCTGCCTTAATCGGCACGGCTCCTTCTCGGACCGCTCACTGTGGACAAAAAAAGAAGAAAAAAACATTGAGAAGAAACCGATCGGGTTTGATCGGTTGGGTGGAAAAGTAGAATGTCGTGACGCCACGAGCTGCTCGTGTTGACTTGTTCGGTGCGCGCGTTGAAAGGTGCGTGTGACACGCGTGCAGTGATTGATCGAGTGTGGGGGGGATCGGTTGGTGCTTGTGAAAAAGGGAAAACTGGATCGGCCGATGACGCTCGCCTTCGTTTCTCTTCCGGAGTCTTCGGACGGCTGTAGGCTGCTCGACGCGGTTTCTGAGAGCTCGGGACCTTTTTTGGCTGTTTGCGGCTTTTTTTCTCCGAGATCCGTTTACTCTTGGCGGGGAACGGAATTTTCTTCGGATTTTTTTGCTCCATGGAAGAAGGGGAAATTGCTACGAGAGATTTAAGTTGCGCGGTACGGATCGCTTGTACGATAAATGGCTGTTAAATTAAAACTAAATCAATGCTGAAGTCAGTCTGTAATGACATCGTTGACTCTATGTTGATTCCATGTTGAATCAATGCTGATTTATTTTCAACTTGAAAGTATTGGAGTTATAAATTTAAACAAAATTTATTTGAATTGCAACTGCAATGCTAACTTGAAAATAGCAACGTTTTGCAGTCAACCATCAATATCGACTTGAATCAACGCAGAATCAACGATGTAGTTTACGACTGATTTCAGCATTAATATTTTTCGTAGGGTATACACTTACGATTGCATGTTGTACTGATAAAAGGAAAGCAAGTGCTCGTAACTGTTGACACAGGTTCTAGTGTATAATTTTTTATGTACACTTAACAGAAAGAGATTCTTTATTATTAATTGAGTGGTGAAGGTAAAGGTGTTTACGTATCGGGTAACTCCTTCGATTGCATAAAAAATTGAGAAATAGCGTGCAATTAACTTTACATTCAATGTACATGTGATATTGGCTCAGATTGATGTGATATTGTTTGTTATCACATTTGAAATAGTTAATTATTAACTTGAAAGTATCAAAGAACCAGCTTTTTCTATCAGACGAACATACTGATTGGATTTGTAACCCAATTTTCACGAACCTTACAAATAAGAATGAAGATTAAATACCAATTTACGCATTGATTGCGATTCGTAAGTCGTCATAATTTAGTTTCGTTAAACTTTTATGGTTTTAATAATTTGCTTCATGTAGCAATTTGAAAGAGCGACACCTTCAGGGGACAATATGTTGATACTAATTAAGAAGAATACACAGCCTCTTATGCACAATGATCTGTTACAATCATTTATTTCAATAGTAACGAATATTTAACAACTGACGCAATTTTTTCGGGTGTTGGGTATACTTTCAAGCTGAAAAATACCTACTTAACGGTGCATCAATAAAAAAAATTTTTTTTTCTCGCATGTTCGTATTTTGTTAGTTAGTATTGCGTGTCGTGGAATATATCATGGAGTAAACACATTAAAAATAATACTATTATTATGTTCATTCATACATTATATGCGTTTCTTATAACAGATTTAGTTTTTTTTTCATGAAATTGATACATTGTTGTTGAAATAAACACTTATGTTACATCATTGTCCATAAGGGGCCGTGTATTCTTGCTAGTCAGCATCAACATGATCAACATCTTTTCCCCTGCAGGTGGCGTTGTTTCAAATTGCTGCACGAAGCAAATAGAGTTATAATAATATACCTATAGTTGAGAAAACACTAATGGTCGCCTATTCATCTTTTTCAACTACTTCAATTAAAAATTGCGTCTGCAGCTAAAAATAAATAATCGTCATGGTTATCGTGGTTGTAATTACACGGACATTAGTATTAAAATCGGCCTGTCCGATGAGGTTCCGGAAACCCGAACGAAATCCTATACTTATAGTTTGTGCTCACCAAAATTCTTTGATTACTGCCCTAGACAGTAAGTAAGATAGCCTTTGCTCACTTCTGCTTTCCAAAAATAGTTTCAGTCCATTATGGATCGTAGGATAAAAATAACGCGTCGATTTGTTAAGTTTTACGTGGCATTGGGCAACAAAAAAGTCGTAGCACACTCTCGCGCTGCGTTCGAAATTTGTAAAATCCTTTTTTTAGAAAGTCCGTGGCGTCCCCCACCGCGAATCAACGATTTTTATACACATTACGAGCATCGCTTTAACAGTAACGCGCTTGCGTGAAACTAGAGTAAGTACATACACAAGCATCGCTTATGTATAACATTGTTATGTGCCGCTCCTCCCGACGACTTCCGTTCCAAAAATGACGCAAGTAATGCATTACTCTTCCGCGGTAATTTCTTCGTTAATCCCCTTCCTCATTGTTATCAAAGCATTCTTTTTTTACCCATGCTCGAGGTAATTTAAAATATTCGTAATATGTATTTTCATCAAAACGATTTCTCAAATTGTTGTTTATTTATTATATTTATTTTTTGACTCAAGTTCAAAGCCAAGAGATTAATGATTGCAAGGATTGGTTTAAAAAGTGAAAATAGTATATATCAAAAAAATTCAAATTACCAACCAACCCAGTTTTTTTAATGCAGCATAAAAAATTAAGTAATCAATGCTTACCGTAACAAAGAATAGCGTATTTTTCAACTTTATCTCTAATCAGCTCTATGAAACTAAGAAGTAAAGAGAATTAACTGCCAAGACCCATCTGATTATAACGAGATGAAGTCAAAGAAAATTATAATTTACCGTTTGTAAATAAATATATTTGAGAAAAATAAATGATAATATTAAACTTTCTGCTTATGTTTATAAGCTGCCTCTGACACTGCATTTTTGAATAAAAATTTTGGGTTAAACAATTTTTTACCGATGAGAAAAACTCAAGGAATGAGTATATTAGTAAAGACTGTATACAGACAACTACATGACTTGAGAAATCCCGTTGAATTTTTTGGGACAAATTCAATAATCTTAAGTAGGTACTTTTAACTCTGGCATTTTTTGAAATTTTCGTATTTGTTGTCTGAGTAATTTCCATAATAATTACAAATAAAAAGTTTTTTAAAAGATGGAAACAAAATTTTTCAAACAAAGTTAAAATATTTTAAAATACTGCATACGATTGCAAACTCAAATTCATTTACATGATGCTTCTGCTGAAACTTTTGTACAAATATACGTACGACTGTAATGAATACGCGAGATCTACGTTTCGATACGCCTCTTGTAAAAATCCGGCATTTTTTTGGTCAGCCATATTTCTAAACATTAGCTCACGTCGAGTCAATTCATAGGATGGACTTTTAAAGGTAAAATTACAAAACGAGATAGCCATGTTGTAGATTTTTAGCAATGAGTTTTGTAACATAAATTCACACAGTCATTGCCCCACATTAAATTTGATTTTTAACACAAAGAGAGAATGAAGAAAGTCGCGGGAATCGTTTGTTACTTTGATTGTAGTTCTTAAAAACACGCATGACTCCCATTCATCGAAGCACGTCATATTCTCAACACCCGATTGTATTCAAATGAGCCACACATTGGAAGGAATTCGACTCAACACTCTAGAGTCTTATACATTACCTCATCCCAGCTTACAATACAAGGAAAATATATATTCCCCCGCTAAGACATTGATTTGCATGTGTATATAATCATGACGATGCGGAGCAATCACCATTACCGTGCAATTGATCCTCCCAGACAGAGAGGAAGAAAAAAACGTTGCTGGTTTATCGGGAGGAGCGATGAAAATCAAAGCTGCGCGCGTAACGTGATCCACTCGTTACACACAATGTAACCGCATGTAAGCGCATTGCGCAACAGCGAAAGCACAAAGTATAGTCGTAAAAAGAGTCCGGGCCAATGTAATGTATATCATACGGTGTCTCCGATTGAGCTTTGGTTACTCTTAATTGCCGTGGCGCCTTTTTTCTCTCCCACAATCGTCCGCTGCGTGGAGAAAAAAAAAGGAAGCAGTGCCTCGACCTCGTAAAAAAAGTATGGTCAAAAGAGCCAAAGTGCTTGGTACTCACGAGTGCGGCCGTGAAAGTCGAGTCACGGCAGTTAGCGCTGGGTGGAGACCGGAGGTGTAGTGACAAGCGATGGGTTTGCAGGGAGAGACGAAAGATGGAGGCTGTACGTGCGTGTATTTAGTATTTTTTATCGCGGAAAAAAAAGATGGCTCAACGACCGCGGGGCGAATTTTCCTTCAGACTCGAGCGTGTATAGGAGCGTGTCGTGAAAGTTGTCATATACTCTCACGTGAGCCTCTTGAACTCGGCGAATTTCTACTTTTGAAGAGCCTTGGGAGTCTTTTTCTTTTCTCAGCTTTACAAATTTTTTTTTTTTTTTTTTTTGGTGCACGAAAAACTACTCCTAATCCNATTCTTTGGTCAGCAGCGTACCTTCCTCCATCACAGTCTCCGTACATCGAGACTCCGAGGGTAAGAATCAAGTAACCCGTAACCAGCTCTTTATCATCAGGAATAATAATAAAGAATAGCCTGGAAGTTTCACCACTGGCGCTTTTTAGTATACCATTTTTTATGGTGCATTTAAGTTGGAATTTTCAGTACGTGCCACGGAGATAGGTACACTTACCCCTATTCTTTGGTCAGCAGCGTACCTTCCTCCATCACAGTCTCCGTACATCGAGACTCCGAGGGTAAGAATCAAGTAACCCGTAACCAGCTCTTTATCATCAGGAATAATAATAAAGAATAGCCTGGAAGTTTCACCACTGGCGCTTTTTAGGGCCATTATAAGTATTTAAGTTCCCTACTTAACCATCAATTTCATCGGTTCTTTTCAGGATCCACCTAAGTGTAAACTACCTTGCCAACAAATACATTTTTACTACCATTTCCGGAAGCGATTCGTCGACTAAAAGACTATATTAACTTAAGACGGGCACTATTAAACCAAGTCAGCCATTCACTAGCAGACGTCACCTGCGAAATTGTTCTTCGAAAGGCTGGAAAACCCGGTGACCGACGACCCTATACAACCCTCTCGACTCTAAGCATTCAACCAGGAATC